ATGACGTTATCACAAAGGTGAGGTTTCTTAAACCCAAGAAAATATATTCATATTTGCAGCACTTCAGACTACGCTGTTAATGCCATGAACATGTGTTTCTAAACGTTTTGCACTTGGCACAAGAAAATAGTTAAGCCTACTATCTCACAACGTAAAAGGATACACAATTAAAATTTTACAAAGGAATATCCGCTCCTGTTTTGTTACATGGATGTGAGAATTGGGCATTTCAACAGAGCAGGGGGGAAAAATCAAACGACCGAAATTAAATTTCTAAGAAACGTTGCTGGTCGCACCCTACGAGATGAAATAATCTCGCCATTAGAAATGAACTACGGATATTCTGTAGGCGTGTAGGGGAGTGATTCGCAGACTGGAAACAGATGGACATGAATGAATTTACCCCGAGCAAGCTATGACTTGCAAATCTGTTTGGCGCAGAGTCGTGGAACAGCCTAGGAGAGGATGGTAGAGTGACTGCAGATTCATACATGATCGGAACAGACCTAGACGACGACGACGTCTCATGGCGTATCAGGTCACGGTGTGTTACAATGTTCTGTGTCCACGAGCGCGCACTCGCGTTATGTATGCATAGAAGAGGCGAAGGTTTACCGTCACTGTCTGGCTCTTCTTCAAACAGAGGAAGCATGAATTCCCTCCGGTCTTGGTTCGATGGCTGTGCGCACGGATAGATCTGCAATTCGCAAAGTAGGCTAATTAAAAAGGTGTTGGTTCCCAAACGAAATACAGCAATTCAATGACGTAAGAATCAACATTTATATTCTGAAAGACGTGGACTATGATGCAGTTTCCACACCCTGTTGCCTGCTATTAAACCTTGCAGTTCACTGAAAGCGAACAGGTCAAATCTCCTTCGTTCGAGAAGAGGTCTTTGAGCAGAGCCTCTCTGCAAACTGCTGCTGTAATATGGTGCAGGAAAAACAATGCCATTTATGGCGAAGTAAGTACTGGAAGTAGGACATGCCGTGAAAGTGAGCCATGCTTGGCCTTGTATGGGAGATAACATGACTTAAGTGCGAAACGTGAGAAACTCACTGGGGCTGCTAGTCATTGAAACCTCTATTTTGGGGCAATGTCATGCATATTTCGAATTAGTGGTTCTTGGTTTGGTTCAGTTGCCGGTGATAGTTTAATTAGTGGGTTATGTAGTGTCAAATCCTAAGATAGTGCAGTGCCTAGTGAAATTTAGATTGGAGGGGATGTAGGATGCGATTGTAGCTGTGGCGAACGCTCCTGTCCAGAAGTGTTCCGCCAGACAGATAAAACTGGAGGAATGTAAAAGACGTGTTGTGCCATGTAACACAACAGGGCCGTAATGATAATAATATACATTAGGCATTAAAACAACAGAAAACTGGTACACACACTTACCTAAGTCGCTATGTGAACATGAAGATATAATAGTTCTGTGAAATTAAGTAGTACAGATGGGGAAATTATGGCAAGTAGGCCAGACGTAATAATTAAAAACAGGAACGGTAAAATATGTTTGCTGACAGGTGTATTAATACCATTGGATAGGAATGCACTACAGAAGGAGTCCGAAAATACATTAAAATGTAAAAATCTATGTATGGAAATTCAGAGAATGCGAAACGAAATCGTCATACTAGTAACCACAGGAATTATTAAGCAAAGGACTAAATAAAAGTCTGGAAATGATACCAGGAAAGAAGATGGCTGTCTGCTGGGTTGTAGCTCCGTCTAGTCTGGTAGATGTTTACCAGTGTTTCGGAGGTCTTCTCTTTCTCCATCATCAGGGTGATGACTTCTGCCAGGCTACACGGCGCTGCTACCCAGAAGACAGCCATCTTCGTACGCACCGTCGTGCGAACCTCAAATCCTACTTCATAGCAGGAAAGCATTCAATAGATTGTGTTTAGGAAAACGCAGTAGGGACATTACACATAATAGGGAAAATGCTACAGGAACTTGAAGCGTGGGTGGTGGGGTTCGCCATTGGTTGAAGAGGAAAAGTACCAGGAAAACTGTGAAAAGAGAAGTAACTTTAGGACACCTGGAGAGTTGTGTGGTGAGATTATTGGGGAGATTTATTCGTATTGCATTTCCACACGACGTGGCATCAAGATCAGGATTCACCACTGGTAGTGAAGGTAAATCTCCACAGATTTAAACTTCGACACTAAATGAAGGTGAAAGGCCAGCTTCATTCTCCGGCCACTTACCCCAAGGGAAGGAGCCTTCGTTACTCACCTATTGGACCACAGAGCGGTCTATACAGATGGCGCAAAATTAATTATCCCATTTGAAATACCTACATATTTAATCTGTTCCTTTTGTTTTTTCGGAAATAAAGTAGAGGCTTCAGAAATTATGAACCCGTAAAACAGTCGTGACCCTGAAACGCCTTCGACTCAGAAGTTACGTGGCGGGATTTACGTACAACATAGCTCAATGAGGGTTTTATAGAAGCAACATTTTGTACAGCACTGAAAATATAACCACCACGTTAATTGAAATTTGTGTTTGTCTGGTTAGGTCTTTCCAGATCACTACTAGCCTATATCCTTCCAAATTTATGATTAATTATACTCTTTTTCTGCAAGTCTTTCGCAATAAACTGATACAATATGTATATTTCTGAAGCTGAAACTTTACAGAGGAGAATTTAAAGTGAAGAATTCGTGCTCTTCGCATGTTTGTATCTGTTTTTATGTGCACGCGTGCAGTTTTTGTGCTTGCACGTGTGGTAGATGCAACCAGTGAGCACGTTTTATGTCTGTGCACGTACATGTGTTTTTGTTCGTGTCTGTGTAATATAGGCTTCCGACTAATTGTATGCACGCAGGAAATGCTTTTTACTACGCGTAAATCAAACCTCGAAAGATACACCGGGGATTGCAGCCCCTTCCCCAGATCACTGGGTCTTTTGGTCCGGAAGCTATAGTTTTATTTTGTTTTGTGTGTACAAATAAAAACCTGGTGTGCATAAAATCAGTTACCCCGGAGTGTGATAAAGTGAAACAGTGCCCTAATCAGTGTCTACCATCAAACAAATGCAGGATTTTCACTGACTGTAATGATGGGCGATTGGAACCAAGACTGTGCAGATCGGTTCGTTTCCATTTCGTGGTTTGATGTCTCTCGACCGATCTTGAGAGCTTCGCGTTTGTACGCTTGTAGGTCTCGGATGTTGGAGAAGAAGACATGTATAATTAGAAACCAAAGTTATCTAAGTTTGATATCCGACGTTAGCTTTTATTGATTATTATTTTTTAAAACTGAGAGGTCAAGCGACATTGTATTTATTAATCAGTTTGCAACATAAAGTCAAGGCCCTCTGAGGTGGTTGTAATCTGAACAATCAGTTTCCGATAAAAAGATTAATTGGTAGGTAGTTCCTAAACGTGTCCACAGAATATATCATAATCTACTCTCTGGAAATACTTAAGTGTCTCGAGCGAAACCATTTCCCATCAGTGATTAGTGCGGGGACAGAGGTTCAATTTCGTTACCTCCAAACCAATGCAAAATTCCCGTTACCGCAGGATTCTCCTAGAATAAAAGGATGCAGACGCATTTTCAAGATTAACCACTGAAGTAGGTTTGAGATCCATTTTTTTTGCATGGGGGAAAATATTTACCGTTATTCATATATTAGTATTGTTAGTGCTTCTTCATAAATGGGACATCGTAATTTCGGACTCTGGGCTGGAGACCGGCAACTCTGGCGAAGGTTTCTTCTTGTGGTTTTCCTGTGCTGATAAAAAAAATTGTACCAACTAACTCCATGGAACAGAGTCCTTCTTGATAAGTTCGACTTGTCAAGAATTACCCCACATTGTATGGAACCGTTCGTTACCATATTCACAAGAGCCTGAACACAAGTCTCTGTCGTGAGCCAGATGGTTCCAGTCCATACCCCAAAACCTGATTTTTCAAGATCCATTTTAATATCATCTTCACCTATGCCTGGGTCTTCTGAGGGCCCTCCTCCCATCAAATCTTCCATCCAGAATTTTGCACGCATTTCTTATCTCTGTGCACGCTACATGCTCCACCCATCACATTCCTGCATATGATCATTCTGATATTTGTCAAAGAGTACACAATTTTAATGATGGTCCACCTTTGGAAACTTTTTCCAGTCTCAGCCTCCTGTCAATGTATCATCCAAATATTGTCCTAATCATCTCATTGTCAAACACCTTCAATTGGCCACCCCCGCACCACATAATGTGAGAGATCAGATTTCACACCCGCACAAAGCAACTCTTTGTTTTTATAGGGCAGATGGGAAACAAATGATTCTGAACTGCATGGTAGCGAGCATTTCCTGAATTTAATCTGATTGTAATTTCAGCATGAATGCAATTCCGATCTGTTAATGTCTTTCTAAAGTATTTGAACTTTGCAATATTTTCAAAGGATTAAGTAGCTGCCCTTATATATAGATTTTGTCGTTGTTTAGTGATGAGATGTGAATATGTTTCTAGTTTCCTCTGCATCTATTGCCAGACCAACTTACTAGCATCTGATCAAGCTTCTAAGTTTCTCTCTGTCATATTTATGTTTTCACCCAGTAAATTAACAGTATAAGCTTCTATCTTTATTTTCTTGGACCTTCCTGGTTACATATTCTAAAGCAAAGTTGTTTATTTATTTATTTATTTATTTCGTATCCAAATACACACCATTCAAAGTAGAAATCATTAAATAGAGTAATATTAATAACATAGAATCTAAGATTGGGCAAGCCAGGAGGTGATCCATTGTCTGTGTTTAAAGCAAAGTTAATAAGTCCGGATATAGTACCAGTACCTTAAAATAGACAAAATTGTTTCCATGTTCTTAGTTCATCATTCACAACCATCCTGCCATTTGATGCTACGTAATGTGTATATTTCGTTAAATAAATAAAAACATAAAAATATGTATAATGAATTGAAACATAATTTGATTTTTGCTTAGCTCTATGTGGATTTACATTTAATGTCGTGCATTTCATATTTCAGATTCAACAGATATTGTGGACTGCAAGTTAAAACTAATCCTTGGCCTGATATGGACTCTTATACTTCATTATTCCATTTCTATGCCCATGTGGGAGGGAGAAGATGAACCTCCATATGGTGAAGGAAAGGGTCCTACACCCAAACAGAGGTGGTTATTGTTAGAATTTTTAAGCCATTTCTATTATAGATATGCTTCTGTAGAGTGATAATGTTATGGAACGTTTATAGCCTTAAAACGATATAATTTGATGCTTTGAATCCCAATAAGTAAAGCTGTCCCGCTACACACCATGTAGGCGCTTGGGGGGAGTTGAGGTATAGCTCCTACTCTTTCTTGACCTCGGCACTAGATGGGGGTGAGTGGTCAGCATCACGCCCTGGCCGTGCTTTACCCCCGGGAAAGGACCCCGGTACCCATTGTAGAGGAGGCTGGGTGGGCCCCAGAGCCGGTCTGGACGCAGAGGCTAGAGGAAAAATCCTCTGCCCTGTCGGGGATCGAACCCCGATCGCCCAGCCCATAGCTAGTCACTATACTGACTGAGCTATCCCGGCTCTTGCTTTGAATCCCAATGGTAACTTTTTATCACACATGCTTCAACAATTAATAACTCTTCTTTTTGTGTTTATTGGTTTTGTATGAATCACTGCAGACAGGTGTTCCTAACTTAACATTAACTAGCTGATCTTTGTAATGATGAAGTGTTATATTTTCTTTGAAGTATGACTAAATCTATAAATATTTAGATGATCTGTGGCGTCAAAGGGTTAATGTGATTTTGGAATGAAAAATTGGAGGAAATTATTTCTGATGAAATGAAGTTTTTGTAATGACTAATGTTTTCTATATAGGAACACATTTCAGAACATTTGGGTAAATTAAAGAAATTAAAAAGAAAGAGAAGCAGATAAAAGATGAGCATGATGCAGAGTGGCATGTAAGGATCAGAGAAACTGTGATTTTATAAAATAATGAGAGATTAAGATAATAAGTGTTGTTTAAATGTTATTGTGTGTTTAGATTACTACATTGGATCCAAAGCAAAGTTCCGGATCTTCCCATTACAAACTTCACATCAGACTGGAATGATGGCAAAGCTGTTGGAGCATTGGTTGATGCTGTTGCACCAGGTATGAGATGGTTCTCTGTTTGTACCTCTCGCATTGCAAGCAATTCTGTAGTTACAGTTCCAGCAACATGCACTGCATGATCCTTCAATAAATTTGACACCATTTTTTCAACTCTGTAGCTGCATATGCTTTCTGCTTGTTCAGTAGGAGCTTGGTTATTCACTTTGAAGGGGGCGTTTAATCAGCGATTGCAAATATTTAAATTTTTGCTTGTAACAATACTGATAGAAGAGTTCTGTTGCAAGAAACAATGTATAATCATATTTTTACCAACTTCCCACAGGGAAATAATTGTTATTTTGTGTTAGAGATTTCCTTTATGTTGATTTGCATAGAAATGGTGCACATGCTTTTATGGAATATTTATCAGGCAGGTGCATAAGTGTGTGCTTTCTGCTAGGCTGATGTGGCCTGTTCTTCTTTATAATACAGTTTTATGCGTAATTGGAAATTTAATTACTGGTACACATGCTTAAGGTTTTTGATTTTATTTTTATGCTATTGCTTCATTAACCTTTTGGTTTGGAATTTAGAAGTCGCATCACTCAGGTCAGCCTCATGATCGTTACTGAGCTACTAGGTGATTATTTCTCTGGAGTGAATGTTTTACCAAGTTAACTGAAAATAGAGATGGAAGAAATGCAGTTTGTTCACTGATGTCCAAGTTTGATTTCCTAATTAATTTTTGTTTATTTTGAGTTAACACTTTGTTTAATCTTTGATAGGGCTTTGCCCAGATTGGCAAGACTGGAATCCAAAAGACTCTGTCCAAAATGCATCAGAGGCCATGGGTCTGGCAGATGATTGGTTGAACGTTAGACAGGTGAGGAATGAGATATCCCGAACCTTACA